TTTTTTTTTTTTTTTACTTTTCACTATGCTGCTAAATCTTTTACTATAAAATTAAACTTCTGGAAACATTAATAGCTGCTGCCCTTTTAGGAATGCCCTAGCTCAGAAATATTGCATCTGCAGGCTTATTCCATGCTATAATTCCCTTCTTGCTGCAGAGTAGTTATCACCGTGAAATGGTTTAGTTACTAACTCTTGAGGCTGTAAGATAGACGTTACGTACTGTAGGCTAAAGCAAGATGCCTCTGACTAGTAATGGCCCTTTATTACATGCAGATGCTGTGACATGTATTCTACAGCTTCAAAATACAAAGCCTTAGCAAGGCAGCCACAATTTCCCCCAAAGTGGTACTTCCCACCATGTTAGTAACATATTGTAGGTTTTTTTATGGAGATGCTTCACATCAGTCCTAATTATTTTTCCAGTAAAATCCACCAAACTCATGGCACACTAATAAACTCATACATAGAACCATAGAATTTGAAAGTACATTGAAAGTCATCTAGTCCAGTCTTTCTCAACCTTGGCAACTTTAAGAAGTGTGGACTTGAACTCCAAGAATTCCACAGCCAGCATACTGGCCGGGGAATAATGGGAGTTGAAGCCCACACTTCTTAAAGTTGCCCAGGTTGAGAAACGTTGATCTAGTCTATCTCCCTGCTCAGCCAGTAGACCAAGCTTTGCACTTTCCAAATAAATATGAGCTGGAATAATTTAAGATGTTTGTGTTTTACTTAAGGATAACAGAAGTATATACACACTCAGAATAATGTTTAAGTGAATCAATTCCCTGCAATAAACACTTAAAACAAACCAAATAAACTCGGAAATCAATTGCCAGATTTTATTTTCAGGTAGTATCCTGTTGGATCCTGATCACCATTTGGATTAGACAGAAAGGAGAGAATGATTTGCATGTGGTCAAAACAACTGTAGCATCAGATCTATATTTTCTAGGTGATTTTGCTCTCAGCCTCACACATGCAAGGGCACAAAAATAGAGACAACAGAATTGCTGTAGGAAACTTCAAAAGAAGGTTCCTGACAACACTAATGAGATTAAAGTAGAGTTCCATTAATCTGATTGCTTCCTTTGTTATTTTTCTTAACACACTTCTGTGGCTCCTGCTGAGCGAAGCTTTAAAGTAGGAAAACCTTTGAGTTCAATAAGTGTAAATGACGTTGGAGAGGAGAGAGTTTCTTTCAAAAGATATATTATGCTACCTGCTTAGTATTTTACAAGTGACTTCCACCTATATTGTCAATATTAAGTACCCTGGAGAACAGCAAGAACAACACACGTTAACTAGAAACAAGAAAACCATTTGACAAATTCTCTTTAGTGGAAGCCATGCTAGGAAAGGATTACACAAACCAATTTATCTTCCAGAGCATTTGTTTTATTGCTAAGTTTTCAGTACTGCTGTTCTCCATTTTTACTTTGCATTTTCGGTTTCCCCAAAGTGATATTTTAATGAGGCTGATATATTTGGGGGCAGCCATTTTTCCTTTGAAATACTTCAGGCAGGAAAAAACATTTGGCCCCGATCAATTTTACGGTGGGAATGTAATTAATTTTATGATCTATGCCCTTACAAAAAGAACACTGTAACTAGAGATACGTTTTTGCACGTTACTTCAGACCTTGTTTGTGCAAAATGAATTCCAGAAGGGGAAGGGCAACAGCTTTTCATCATGGTAGCGATACAATCAAGAACATTTTTCTTCAAGTACAGAGGTGATTTGCTACCTAATTTTCCTAAAACATAATTGCTGTTAATAAATGCCATAATTTCTTTTGTCCATCCCCAATATTTTTTCAAGATAGGAATTCCGTCGAGTCAAGTTTAGCTACATGTTCACCTAATTTTCTGGGCAACAGTATGAAAGTGCAGATAAACCTGGATGGTGCCCCAAATTTCCATCACTAAGCAAGGCCATTATTAAGTGAGTTTTGCCCTGTTTTATGACCTATCTTGGCTAGAGTTGTTAAGTGAATTGCTGCAGTTTTTAAGCGAATCAGAAGGTTGCAAAAGGGGATCACATGATCTCAGGACATTGCAACTGTCATAAATATGAACCACCTGACTTTTGTTCACGTGCCCATGGGGATGCTACAGTCATAAGTGTGAAAAATGGTCGGTAAGTCACTTTTTTTCAGTGCCATTGTAACTTCAAACAGTCCTTAAATGAATGGTTGTTAGTCAAGGATTACCTGTAATTGCATTTCTTTCCTCTGGATTTTTCTTTACTTCCCAATTTAACCTACGGAGACTCTTCTGTTG